GTGATTAAATCGAAATCGCCAAACAACTAACGTTTTAAAATAAAACGATCGAGTACTCCAACTTTATTTGAGACGACATCGCGACTAATAAATAAAATATAATCTCATAAATAATATTCGATAAATAGAATATTCGGATAAATTCTATAAATCGAACGGGGGGTTACACCTTCCTATCTCCAATGATCTTGCCGAACAAGCTGCGATCACACTCTTCAGCACTAGTCTGGATATCTTCAATTTCTATTTCAGTAATACCACTTTCATCACTTTCTAGCTCTATGCTTTTCATCATCTTACCAATGGCATCCAAAATTTTTTCAGAATCTGGAGTTTTTGACGAATTTGAATCCATTGCTCAGATGAAATTCAAAAAGCCCCAAAAATGAAAAGCCTAGATCGCAGAGAACCGACAACCCGCAATGGAGAAAGAAAAAGAAGAAAGACCCTGCTATTTACTGTTCTCAGCAAGAGAATAATTTTTGAGAATCACAAAAGTGAAGAATATGTTGATCCATCCCACCAGGAGAATTTTCGCTCCCACCAGAAGTATTTTCACTTATCAAAAATCACTAGAATAAAGATTAAAAGATAGTATACTTAGAAAAGCCGAAAGCCTTAAAGTGTAAGTCAGAGATTGTTGGAGTATAATGTCGAAGCTCGACTTTGTGTTACTCCCATTACCATTTTGAATGAGATATGTGTTTTTAGTCAACTGTATGTTCGTAGTTTATTTATTTATGCGAACATAGTTTTTTTTTATTTTACATTGTAGATAATATGATTCGATGTGTCGAACAAAAAGATCATTTTATTGATGCCTTGATTAATATAAATATTTGTTCACAACATAGACGAAATTGAACTAACTTTCGTGGAAAGATATGTAATGTGATTTGGAATTAATGGTTTTTTACTAATGAATTACACTAGTACATCTCGGATGTATTGGACGGACCTACGGAGGATAAGAATTTTATACTGACCAAGTAAATCATCCAGACCTCAGTAATATTTGCGGTCTCTTAACCTGATAGATAATAAAAATGGGCATGTGCATTCGATACTTATTTATTTAATTTACCAAGAGTGAGACCTATTATGTTAGGTCGATAGACTCAGTACTTTGGTAAATAATTCCGGGTGTATGATGTGCCATAGAAATTGTTTATGGTCACCGTTTCCCATTTCGCCTGGTTGATGACGTCTCGAAAATGAGCTCAGAGGATTATTATGTTAATCTCGATTGGCTGATTAATTTTCGACATATTGATAAAGAATTGAGTGGTAATTATTTCGAATCAAAAAGTTGATTAACTATATTGTCAATAATTGAAATAATCAACGGACGTTAGATCTTAAACATGAGAAGGTAAAAATTGAGCAATTAGTCGAGAAAGAATTATTTGTAATTGGAAGCTAAATGGAGAGTTCAGTAGTGGTATTTAATATTATTCGAGTATGAGCAGAGTGGACTTGGCCCACAATTAGGCCCATACTTGGGAGCTCATATTTAGCAGCTCCTTAGGGTCGTGCTGTAGCCTATAAATACACCAAGTCTCCTAGCATTCATCACAATGAGATTCACACCTATCACACGTGAAAAACATCTTTTCTCTTCTTGGAGAAATTGGCCAAAACCGAGAGGTTTAAAGGAGTGAAAAATCATGAGGCTTTAGGAGATCAGATGAGTCGTCCACCATGATGAATCAGAGCAGGTGATCAGTCACACAATAGAAGATTCGAAGTCTTGTTTTCGAATCCCGGTGAATATATATATTCATCCCGCCGAATATATATGTCTCCATAGTACCTCAGACGACTACGAAACTTAGAGAGCACGTCCACTGGAGGAAGAAGCATCCACCAGCATGCCCAGGACCATCAGTCGTAGCCTCATACATAACATAGGTGTCGGAACCCCACGTGCCATCGTGCATGACTCGCGCACAGCCAATGCATGTCTCGCTTGACCGAACAACGCACCCTGCGCGCAGCGCGACTCACGTCTGCAAGAGACCTAGGCCTCTCCGATAGCGACCCCAGGAAATTAGCATTGTACAACAACATGCCAAACCCGGGTATGCTTGGCCACCAGAGCAGTCAAACCACCAACAGTTCACCAACGAAGCACGTCGACCACCAACGAGGTCTGATGACCACCAGCAAACTGGAGACGGTCCAACAAGATTTTGGCGACCCGGGGCAATGTCGATAGACCAGTGACCATGGTGCGAAGTCTAAGGTGACGCGAGACGCGTCTTGGAATCCAAACGACTCGACGAGACTCATACGATCTCTATCAACGGAAATCAGAAACGTCTCAGAGTCGGCAAAAGTCTTTAACCATATGTCTTGGTCCTAACTATAGATTCTGTTGCGTTAGGATATATATTCATTAAATTTTAATGTGCATATCGACGATGTTCCTCATAGAAACCCAATAGTGGGCCTCTCCCGTGCCTTTTTTGTGTACAAAGCCTTTAAATGAAGAGCAAGAAATGCAAAAGAATGTTTAAAGATGGAGATATTACAATAGAGCTACTTCTATTGTGGGAGATTTCTCCATATATTTTATGATGATCTTCACGGTCTCGGCTTCAGTAATGTCTTCGTGATGAACACTTTCAGGTCTAACTAGAATACTCTTGGTCATCCGGACTCCAGGGAAGATACGTGTGTTAGACCGAACGACACGTCATATTTATTTTAGGGGCACTATTTTAGGTCAGACACATTCGTGCATCAACGGTTTTCATTAAATGAAGACACAAATTGAGAATTATACTGAAAGGAAGATCAAATTTCTATGAACGGACAATGGTGGAGAATATACAAGTGATCCCTTTCAAGAAGATTGTCGTAAAAATGATATTGTTAAGCACTTCACTGTTAAATGGACACCGCAACAAAATGGGGTGGCAGAGCACATGAATTTAACAATGGTATAAATGATTTGATAAGTTTATTATTGGGCAGAAGTACATGCAAAGAAGACATGCTGGTTGTGTGTATTTAAACAAGCTGCAAGATGGACATTTACCTACTTTTGTATGTAGATGACATGTTTGTTGCACCAAAGAGCCAAATGAAGATTGATCGAAGGTTCAGTTGCATCAAGAGTTTCAGATGAAAGACCTAGGGGATGCTGAGAAAATACTCATGATAGAGATATGTAGGAACAGGATGAGAGTCAAGCTTTGTTCGATTCAAAAGAAATATTTGAATAAAACACTACAATGTTTCAGGATAAAAGATGAGACAAAACCTATAAGTATACCACTTGCCCCTCATTTGAAGTATCAAGTTATCACCAAATTGTGATGGAGAACGAGAGTACATGGCTAGAGTCTCATATGCAAATGCAGTTGAAAGTTTGATATATGCAATGGTGTGAACAAGGCCCGACAATTTAAAGCAGTTAACGTTGTTAGCAGGTATATGCATGACCCTGGTAGAATTCATTGGGAAGCTATGAAATGGATTCTACGGTACATTCATAATACTCTATTGACGTTGGATTAGCTTATAAACAAGATGAATATGGTTAGTGTGTAGTTGGAAATTGTGATTTTGACTACGCATGCAATTTGGATAAGCGAAGATCAACGACAGGATATTTGTTCACTTTTGCAAAAGCTCAAGTTAGTTGAAAGTCTACTTACGATCAAGGGTTGTTTATCTACAACAAAGGTTACTGAGGCTGTGAAGGAGGCCATTTTGCTTCAAAGTTTTCTTTAAGACTTTGGGAGTTGGTCAAAAGTACGTCATAGTGCATTGTGACAGTCAGAGCCCTATTTACCTAACAAAAAACAAGTATTTCGTACAAGAACAAAGAATATTCTCCTCTAAAGGCAATATAACAGGTGAACCTATATAAGCAAAGTAGCAAACATAGTAGCACGCCAACCAGGTCAATTGCATCGAGCCTGTAGTGATTTAGAAACAGAAACAGGATGTTCCCTATTACTTTGCGCATGAGATTCTAGAGGATTGAAATATTGTGTTGAAGAAGATTAAGACGACGGAAAATCTGCTGTTATGATGAGCAAGGTAATGACAAAAATCAAGCTCGTACATTGTTTAAACTTGACCGATATTCTTCATGCTTGAGATGGCAACGAGAGGCGCATTTGGAGGCACCACTGATAGTTGGATTTGAGAGTTAAAGTGGGAGAAAAATTAGTCAATGTGGAGAATTGTTATATTTTGATTAATATTTGTTTTCACATCGTATATTTACCAAAGATGTGTATGATATTCTTAGTATAAATAGGTCATTTGTATTTAGGTTACAATTGCACCTTATTCTTTTCTCTCATATTTTATAAGGAAATTCTTAAGTAAAGATATCCTAATTTGTGAGTAATTTAAATATCGTTGTATTTTATTGGTCGTGTCCGGAGATATAGGCAATATTAGTCGAACGCCTTATCAAGTTATCTTTCTTTCTCGTATTTTATTTATTTGTGTTGGCTTAAGTACTGCTTGTCATAATTTGTAGCTGAGTGTATTTTTGTGTGTCTTTTAACACTTAAGCAGATTCAATTAGGATTAAATCACGACCCACAAGTAGGATGACATCATCCTTAAAGAAGGCTAGACCACCCATCTGCAGCTAATATAGTTCTTTTCTTGCAACAAGTGTAAACTGGGCCACTTATTTTTTTTTTTTTTTCACCCTTTTAACCCAATTTCAGTTTAGCCAAAAGATTCTCAAAAAGCTACAGATGAGAGTATTAATAAATAGAAAAAGGAGAAGGCAATATTTAGCTGTGAATCTTAGCAGAGAAGACAGTTTTTGGGTTTTTATAAGTTGGCATCAATTTGGTTACTTGCCTTCTTTGCTTATCTTATGCCTGATTCTTTTTTCTCTTTAGGAATTTTATAATCTCAAGAGAACTGCCCCTTTATCCTGCTAATAGAGTAAAAATCTGAACCCAAAAAAACTTTACTTGTTCATTTGTTATCCAAAGTAGAACCAAAATACACACCTCCAAATGTTCCGGCAAGAACGAGAAGCGAACCCTCACTTCCTTCCTCGCCACACTAACAATGACCCCATTATCGACTTCTCCCGACAACGAACACCACCACCACCTCAACGTCCAAGGCCTCCCCCACCTCAGCACCACAGCCCCACGTCAATTGAGCCGCCCTATGCCCCAAGGCCTCAGCCCCCAACACAACTACCTCAAACACAGCCAAAACCACTTTCCTCTCATTCCGGCAGAGGCCACCACAACAACCACCCTTCGCTCCTGAGGGGCCCCACATCCCGGCGCACGAGACCCATGGCCTGGCTGGTGGCCGCATTATGTGCACTCTTCTGGATGATTGTCATAGTCGCCGGTTTGATTGTCCTCATAGTCTACCTCGTCTTCCAACCCAAGCTCCCCAGGTTCGACATCTCCGCCGCCACCCTGAACGCGGCCTATCTCGATCTCGGCTATTTGCTCAATGCCGACATCACATTGCTGGCAAACTTCACCAACCCAAACACCAAAGTCGACGTTGATTTCACCTATATTGTGTTGGACGTTTACTACGAGAAGAACATTATCGCCACGCGTTACGTGAGTCCATTCTCGGTGAGGAAGAGGGAGTCTCGGTTCGCGGCCGTGCACATGATGGCTAGCCAGGTGAGGCTGTCGACGGGGCTTAGCTTGGAGCTCCAGAGACAGATGGAGAATGGAAGGGTGAGATTTGTGGTAAAGGGCGCGTTTAGGACGAGGTCTAAGTTGGGAGGAGTTTTCCGGTACTCTTATTGGTTGTACGCGCAGTGCGACGTGGAGGTGGCGGCCCCACCGACCGGAGTTTTGATTAGGAAAAGGTGTGTCACCACGAGGTGAAACAGTTAAATGCTGCGTTTTGCATTCAGCGAGGCTGATTATATTGTTTACAATAATGTTTATAGGCCGATGTGGGATCATATGTGTTGTTTGTGTTGGAATTTTTCAAATCCAAGGAGGATTGAGTCGTCTCAGTTCAATCCAAATTGGCACAAACAAATCAAAGAATGCTCCAACAATTTGCACTAAAAACTAGTTCTTGTAAATAATCTTTATAATATATTCAACATAAATATATTATTAACAATTAAAGTATAATTATATAAATAAATATTAATTTAAGTAATATTCATTAAAAATACATTATACGCTTATTACATGTTACTTATTATTATTATTATAAACTTATGTTAAATTAGAATAAAAAATTTTGAGTACTTAATATTTATGAATATGTTAAAAAAGATTAGCATATTTGATTTTTAATATTAATACCAGAAGACCAAATTTGAATACTATTAAAATTATTCTCATTTAATAAATTAGCTGCAAGCTGGTTGTCGTTGGTTGTAATAACTATGAATATTAGTTGGATTGGTTGTCATTAGTTGACAATAGTAATAATTGGGCTCTAGAGATTTTCATATATGCTATATATGTGTGAGTGCTCGGGATGAATTAAATGCAAGAAAAAGAATTGTGTAGAGAACAAAAATATAAAGCAATTGTTATTTTCAATAATAAAGCATTGTCTAATTTTTCATACTCACAAATTTTCATACTTTTTAAATTATTTTCCATTCCATTTTCATATCTTGATACCAACTGTGGTATCACAGCCGGGTTGATCAATAGCTGAGCGAAATTATTTTCCAATATCATCCTATTTTTACATATCTTGTCCAAATACCCCATTTTCACATATCCTTCTAAATCTTTATTATGGTTACTTCCCAAAACACCCACCAAATACTAGTTCCTATTTTCTCCAGTGAAAAATACAACTATTAGGCCATTAAAATGAGGACATATTTTATGTCTAAGGCCTATGGAATATTGTCGAGAACGGGTATACTATCCCCGATGACATATCCACTTTGTCTACGGCAGACGAAGAAAAATTTGACCGGGAAAAGAAAAAAAACAGTTTGGCCCTTTTCACACTACAAATGGCCATGACGGAATCTTTGTTTCCAAGAATCAGCGGAGCACATACATCAAAGGAGGCGTGGGATGCGCTCGAGGAAGAACACCAAGGTAGTGACAAGGTACGTCATCTGAAATTACAAACTCTAAGAAGAGATTTAGAAAATATGAAGATGAAAGAATCTGAGACTGTAAAAGATTACTACACTCGATTAAGAGAAGTAATAAATCAATTAAAAACATATGGAGAAAATATCACTGACAAAAGGGTGGTAGAAAAAATTTTAATTACTCTACCAGCCAAATATGATCCTATTGTCACGACGACTGAAGAAACTAAAGATTTGGATCATTTGTCAGTGACAGAAATAATGGGTTCACTTGAAGCCTATGAAAAAAGACTGAGTATGCGAGAAAATGATACAGTCGAAAATGCATTTCAGTCAAATCTAAAATTACAGTCTCAGAATTCTAAAATTGGGGGTAGAAGATATGGAGAAAATAGTAAAAATAACAATCAAGGTGGAAATAATAATAATCAACGGAAAGGAAAATATCCACCTTGTGGAGTTTGTAAGAAAACCAACCATCTTGAGAAGAATTGTTGGTACTGAGATAAACCACAATGTAAATATTGTGGCAAATTCGGTCATGTGGAGAAAAATTGTCGCGCTAAAGGATATCAAGCAAATTTCTCTAAAGAAAACGAAAAAAGAGAAGAATTGTTGTTCTGTACAAATCATGCAACTTCAGAAGAAAAAAATGATATTTGGTTTCTAGATAGCGGCTGTAGCAACCATATGACGGAGATGAGAAGAAATTTAAAAATATTGATAGATCTGTAAAATCACAAGTTCGGTTGGAAAATGGAGATTTAGTTGTGACGCCTCACTTTTATTTGCCAAAAATCAGAACAATTTTTTCAAATTTATTTCAAAAACACTTGAGGCGCTACTCATTTTCAAAACGATTTTCAACACTTAACAAAATCTCAATCAATACCTAGTCAATCATCTATACTCATTAATTCATCAATCCTCGTTTATCAATAATGGAAACTCAATACTCAAATTCGCAATCCAATAATCATAAAATCCTAGGAAGTACACTCCCTATCAATAATCCAATATTCAATAATAAATAAAACAATAATAGCATTAATCAGTTCAAAGGCGGAAGCGATATCAGTAATATGACCACCACACGCATCCCTCCGATGTGCCCGCAACACTAACCTGCATCCATGAAGAGCAGGTGGGGGTGAGCACAATTGAAAAATCGAGGTTCTCACCACTATGCAATAATTAATATTCAATAATCAATAAACAATTTAGGTATGGTCGCAGCATGTATACGAATCAATAATCGTCCCATTTTCTATCAATAATCAATAATCGTCTCATGTGCACACCTATAGCAATAGACTACTGTCGAACTATATACCGAACGCCTTATCTAAGGCTTTACAACGAGTGCCCGGCCAGCAGGAGTAAAACCACCCCGACTGCCAAAACTTTCGCCTTGGACTTACCAACGAGGATCACCAGCCAAGGCTCACGCCCTGACTGCCAACAATAATAAAATAGACTACCCGAAGGTCGTTCTATAGCTACGGGAATAACCGTTCGACGACCGGTACAACTCACATCGAAGGTTACATGGTCTACATGCATACATTACCACAACAATAACAATTAATTAAGGCATAGTTTATAAATAAAACCCACCTGATATCCAGAGAAATATGAAGTCACAAAAATCGAGAAAAAGTAGTGTAACACCCCGCCTAATTATTCTAGAATTTATAAAATCAGAGTAAAATTTTTGCTTTTTATTTTCGAAAAACTCTTTAACTTTATTTTCGAAAATACTCATACTAACTTGCGGGATGCTACTAACTTAAACTCTTTCTCATGCAGACGTAAATAAATACATGTAACCTAATCAAATCCGTTGTATAAAAGTACCACGGAGATAAAGGCATTATACATGCATAAGTCTGAAAATCTCATAATACATACTAAGTCTGAAATGTGCGGAAGCTGAAATATATGTCTACGCATAGTAATAATAGTACATGTTCAATAAATGACATGTAGATGCGTTACAAAAAGACTGCTAATGACCACGACCACCACTGAAATCTCACGCACCACGCGCTGCTCTGTCACCTGAAAAACGTAATGGGGGCGTGAGCAAAACCACTATGCTCCGCAAAGACCAATACTTAATTATACAGCATCGTTAATAACAATATCATGACTTTAAGTATATAAGAACTGATCTGAACTGAAACTGTAACTGGGGCATCTGGTGGTCATAAAGACCCTGTGGCTTAAAAGCCAATCATGTGCACACTCTGGGGGATTATTAAGGCCAATTAAGGCCTCCCTCAGAACCACGGGGGATCTTTAAGGCCCGCCACGACCTTCCTCAATGGTGAACTAACTATTTCTTATACATACCTCAGACATGGTACGGAAATTAAAGACGATGTATAACCAGTACGTGACCCCCACCTGATAAACTGCTACTGATGCAAGTGTTGGCTGAATAGTAGCTGTCGGAGGCTCGACTCTCCTTAAGCTACACAAATTATTGAGCAGAAAGTACTAAGTACTGAGCTCAAACTGAAAACTTGATTTTTATTATTTTATGATCTTCCTAAGTTCTCTCGTTCGATTATAAAATCATTTAATCTGAATTTACAGGACTTGAGCTATTTTGGAAAAATTTGTTGACTTTGAGGCATTCTAGAGTTCTCTGAAATATTTCTAAGTATGGTCTGCTTAACTGATTTTTTATCTGATCTATAGCTTAATCTGATCTGACTTATCTGACTAGGTTCAGAAAAATACTGAATTTCGATTCACGCTCAAACCGGTATTCCGAACTGCTATTCTCGAATCGTCCAGACTATCCGGACCGATTCGACTGAACTGGACTGGCGACTCGATCTGAGCAGACCGGTTGCTCATCTGACTGGGTTCAACTCGGCTTAACCGTGGTCCAAGTACATACGTATGGACACGTCATCAGCCGACGCCCAACATTTTCTACTCGAATCTAGAGTTCATCCGGTCTGACCGGGAAAAGGCCGAACTAGGGTTTTCTACTAAACCAGCTATTTATCTCGTTTCAAGTTAAAACTCAAACTCTAAGTCTAACGTGATTTTCTAGTGATTTTAGGCCCAACAACTGCAACTAAATCTCAATCGGCTAATATCTAGCAATTTTCACAAAAAGCAGCTAAAGCCCCAAATTATTAGGCATACCAAACAGTCTCCAAACTTTACGAAATTTTAAACATAACACATTTAACATCTATAAGATTTTTCCATAAAATTTCAACGCATTTTGAGGGCTTTAGCATTTTTCCAAAAACCGAGCATATCGACTACATATTAAACAAATCCGATAAAAATAGTAAACGGGCACCAAAATTCACGAAACTTAGCATATAATCTCCTTATCATGTATAAAGTCCATGGTCAAAGCCTCAAGTCTCAAATCAACACTTATCACTTTTAACTCGAAATTACTACGACCTACAATTTACTCGAACCGCTAGTTCGCCTATCAAACAGACACTAAAAATTCATCCGATTATACATTAAGCCTCAAGTCAACGGGGAGAATTTTACCATATTTATTTTGGCATTTTAACACGTTTATCAAAAAGTCCCGATTAATTCACTTTAAGCTCGTATGTCCCGATTTTAACCAAAAATCACTCAAATCAACATCTTTTCATTTCTTATCTTATTAAATTCTTCAATTCTAAGCCATATCATTCAAGTTTTTCGATATTATACCTTAAGTGTTCGGAAAAGAGCGGATCGGGCTAGAAAATGAAAGAAAAGGGAGTGACCGGTTCGGATCTTGAGCTACTAGGGTCGGACCTTGGACCGTGGGCTCGGTTTTGCCACTGAAAGTACGGATCTGGGCTCAAGGACTATTAAATGGTTCAGACCTTTGGCTAAGGGAGGTGTCGGGCACGAGCTAGGGCTAGCTCGTGTGTGGGTTCGAGCTTTACGGCGGCTGTGGGCTTGGTGCTCGCCGGAAAACGAGCTTGGGAAGATGACGGTGGCTGGAGCTTCGCGTTTTGCTGCTGGTGGTACGTCCTGTGGTCGGTCGTGGCTCGGCTGAGTCTAGCGGCTCGCGAAAGTGGCGGATCCAATCTTGGATGCGGCGGTCTGAGGGCTGACCGGCGACGGATGCTGCATAAGGTTGAGCTAGCAGAGGTGTGGTCGAGCTTGCGCGTACGGACAGAGGCAGCTCGTTGGCTCAGCTGGTTCGGGATGGACGCCTGGGGTCGTGATGGTGAGCTCGCCGGAGAAAATGGAGGTCACCGGGACGGGGCTACAAACGAAGAGCTAACGTCGCGAGTGAGTTGTGGGTTCGAGCTTCGCCGTGAAGAGGTCTCGTCGGAGCTGTGGGATGGTGCCTTCGTCGGAACAGTGGTGGACCTGTAGTTTTTCTGGCGGGGCCGAGAAGTGCGAGCTCTGGGCTGAGCTTGGGCTCGTGAAGGAGAGCTGCGCATGCGGGAACGGCGGCGGCTCGCTGGATTTTCTGGTGGCTGGCCGGATTTAAGTGGTGATGGTGTGTTGAAGAAGCTTTGAAGAAGAAGAAGCTTGATGGTGAAGAAGATGATGATGGGGCTTTCTCTCTCTCTCTCTCTCTCTCTCTCTCTCTCTCTCTCTTGAGCTAAGGGATAAGATATGTGTGGTGTACAAGAGCTTAGGGGAAAAGATGATACATGCTATTTATAGATATTCTAGTATTAGGGTTTTATGCTCTTGTTGGGCTTTTTATCGGGCTCGATTAATAATTCGACTTGGGCTCGAAATACTTAAAAATCCACTCCGAAATAACTCGACTACTCGAATTAAATCGGGCCGACTATTAAAAATAAATTGGGCTAGGATTTAAAATGTCTCGATTTAAAATGGTTAGACCCGACAATAAAATAATTAGGTCGATTTGTCGAAATAAAAATAGCCCACTTAAATGGGCCCAGAAAGTGGGCTCGCTCTGGAATTTAATAATTACCGACTATTACAACTACCCGATAAATATAATTTATCGAGACTTAGACTTAGGGTTTTATATCTCGTTTCCAAAATATAATTCGAACACTCTCTTTATGGCTTAGACTTGAAATTAAATAAATTATGCGATTAACACTAATAATTTTCGGCATAGTATTTTACTAATTCTGATAAATAAAGTCGAGCAAAATATATTATTTTGGGCCGGGGCTTACAATCTATCCTCCTTAAAATATTTTCGTCCTCGAAAATGCTAAACTAAAGCCTTAGTCCGTCTCGACCATAAACTAGAAATTGAAAAATACAAAGTACAAAAGTACTAATCAGAACTAAAATCTGGATATCTATCTCTGAATTTGGTCTTCATCTTACTAGTGATTTTGGCTTTGTCATGGCAACTCCGGCTTCAAGCCCCCAAGTAAATCTGGACTAGTGACTCTTATTTCAAGCCTGGAAATTTACCCGACTTTTGACTATTATACACCGTTAACTCAAGTTCGAGAACTGAGTGTTTCTATCTGGATACTGTATAGGTCTGCTCCAGTCATAAACCGGTCTCATTGGTATTGGTTCGCCATGGCGGTTCGCCAAAATTCACTACGTGCCTTAGATAAATTCCAAGACAAAACTTTTAGAAACTATACTTACAAACCTCAAAGAAGCTCATCTATTCTCTTAGCGGTATCGCACTAGCTATGGCGACACTCCTGAACTTAGAGAGGCCTACTCCTCGGCCCTCTGACTAGCGTACCCTCCGCCACAAGATGTCCGTAGGTACTACCTCGCGTGTCAACTCGAATCAACGTGAGACTCATCTAACTTTTCCACGTGTTCGAGCTCGCGTACAACTCCTCAAGCTCGAGGCGTGGAGATAACGCTAAATATTTCGCGAATATTTCGGCGAAAAACCCCAAAACATTAGGCTTAGCTCACCATCTCGGCTATAAGCTGGAAAATGGTTGGGGTAACTAAGCAGTTGTTTCTTTCTGGCTGTGACCCTCATGTCACCTTGCCGCACACACTGGTCTGCAAGTCTTTCTATTGCTGGCCTGTACACGACTTTCGCTGGTTCAGGGTTGTCTTAGTCTTTTCCATGAATCACTGGTTTCTAATCTCTCGTCCGTCGGTCTACTATTGACCGATAAACTTTCTCTCGCTATCTCTTTCTTGTATGTTAGCGATCCACACTCGTATCCGTACTAAAACGTATTGTGCCATGTCTACTCTCTTCTATTAACTACTTTAGTGACAAATTGTCCTTCTGAACGGGTCTGTCATTCAGAACGCAAGTCTTTAAGCGTTCTGATCATCTTTTCTGACTATCCATCGATCTGTAAAGCTGATGAGGGCAACTAACAGTTGTGGTTCGACTCATCGTGACTCAGCTATTGACGAGGCGGCACATTGCGTGCGGTATGCCACATGCGGTTTACCCACTACCCGGGGCCCACGGGTGCGGAACACCTGCATGCAGTACCTGCACGCGATGTACTTGCGGTGTCAAAGTCGCCTGAAATCACTAACACGGTCGCGTCCACGTCTTACGTTAGTAGTCTTATTGTACTGCGATGTACGACATTAAATGGTGACACGGCCACTGACGCAGGGGCATGCTTGGGCCACTGCTGAAGGAATCGGTGCGTTGACTGGTATGTTGAACGGACGCATGGGCGTTGGGCAGAGCGTAGGGGTGCGGCTCGGTCGGACTCGGTGCACAGGCATGCACTCGGTGGCTCCGCCCTAACGATAAAGCATAATGGGACAAGAGTGCGAACATCGGTATGCGATCCAGATACGTGGTAATGCACGCAGGTTGCTCGGATCTATCTGCTTCTTGGTACACATCGACTGTCTTATTGCTTTAATGGGTAAACTTTACCGAGGATACTAAAATCATACTATTAAGGCTTATGTGTTCTCTCTTTCTTTCTATCACGTTTGCTCTTCCTTACACTGTCTCAGCTTAATACTGGAAAATTGCTCTCTGTTGTGGAGGAAATCTTCTACTTTGCTCGCTTGGCGGCTATCCCAAGCTATCTTTATGCTCACTACTCGGCTGATCCTTCATAATTTCTTACTCAAAGCCTAATCTAAAACTAGTGATGTCGAAACACCACCAATACTTAGGGATGATTTCATCACTTCAACTTTAACGTGTTTTTTGATCTTGAGGCGTCGGCCCCTCGACTTCTGGTGGAGGATGTCCGAGCTTCAAGTGAATCTTGGAACTTGCAGTTTTCCCGCATGGGGTCAACAATTTTTGGCTCTCGAAGGTGAGTACTTACTCTCCTCCTTGAGTCTACTTAGATTTCGGTAATGGGTGTACTTCTTCTTTTCTTTATGAACCATTGGGTGCACCATAAAGTGACGCTCTTGGTCCAACACTTCCCAATTTAGATTTGGGTCTTCAGCTCTCGTAGATTCTTGTCTCATGAGTTTAGTGCTGCTAACATTGGTCTTAACCCGATACCTGGTCAATTGAATTCCACCTGTCGGTCAGGTGGTCTTCCCGGTAATATTTTTTGAAACGAAGTTCACACGATTGCGAAAAATGGTAACTCTCCGGATGTTGTTAGTGAAGTGTTCTTTCTTCACGGCTACTAGAATTACTCCTATCGGCATATGTACGCGTAATTTATAAGTCTTCATCTTCTCAAACAACTATCTTCAACTTTCCCCTGTGCGGGGTTGGTTCTTCTTCTTGAATTATGGTGGTTGCGATCTCTCACTCGGCTTTCGCTAGATATCCTGGTGGTTGCTACGGTCTGTTGTCTGGGCATTCTTATACTATCGGAATCTTCCGTGGGAGATGGCTTCTTTTTCGAGACGATGAGTAAGTCGTCGTAGTGTAAAATCATGATTTAACGTGCGATCCTTGCTCTTGTTTCTGTTAAACTCAATCTTCTCCTTCTTTTACTACTAAAGATTACCTCATACGAGAACATGTCTACTATGGTTCAGCTTCAAGCCTCCATGGTTCTTCCCAGACTTATGGCTTTTATTTCAAGCCTCCAGGACTTACCCGGACCTACGACTCTTATACACTGAAACCTTCGTTTCTTGTACTTGCTTGAAGGCATCTTGCTAGCTTTAAGTGAGGCAATCTCTTGAGTTAGAACTTTACTCAAGCGTTCATAGTTCAGACAATGAAAGAATCCACTGTCTTACCTATGTACTGATATTTATCGACTTATTCTTCTTCTTAACATTTCCAACACTGATTCGACAAGCAATCTCGGGCGGTCTCTTGCTGAAAGGCATATAACTCTCGCTCCATTCTCTCGCAAAAATGGCGGTAAAATTTGGCTTCCAGAATCTACTTGAGCCACTCTCATGTCAGCTCATAATGTTCCTCCTTCCCCAAACGCCAGTAGTCGTTCAACCAATCTCTGAAATTGGTCTACGACTACGGCATGTCCCCACTCTGCGGGTGGTTTCGGAGTCCTGCGAGGCGGCTTTCTGGATAGCCACTAACTATTGAACTAACACCGTATAGCCGATTAAAAAATAGCTATACTATACTTAGCGAATTTTTAACAAATTTCCGAAAACACCTAGCTTGGCTAGAGTTCCGGTTTATACTTAACTATTCTATGTTATGACTAGAGTTTTAATTTAGTCTAAAGTTGGACTTTGCAAAACTTTCTAAAATTCTGTCTAGGGTTCTCTTTCTATTCGGAGGATATATGCTAGGCCCCTAAGATCTCATGCTATATTATCATGCACTCGCAGAAATTTATAACTTAGGTGACTTAATCTAGAATTTATAAAATCAGAGTAAAATATTTGCTTTTTATTTTCGAAAAACTCTTTAACTTTATTTTCGAATATACTCATACTAACTTGCGGGATGCTACTAACTTAAACTCTTTCTCATGTAGACATAAATAAATACATGTAACCTAATCAAATCCGTTGTATAAAAGTACCACGGAGATAAAGGCATTATACATGCATAAGTATGAAAATCTCATAATACATACTAAGTCTGAAATGTGCGGAAGCTGAAACATATGTCTACGCATAGTAATAATAGTACATGTTCAATAAATGACATGTAGATGCGTTACAAAAAGACTGCTAATGACCACGACCACCACTGAAATCTCACGCACCACGCGCCGCTCTGTCACTTGAAAAACGTAATGGGGGCGTGAGCAAAACCACCATGCTCCGCAAAGACCAGTACTTAATTATAGAGCATCGTTAATAACAATATCATGACTTTAAGTATATAAGAACTGATCTGAACATAAACTGTAACTGGGGCATCTGGTGGCCATAAAGACCCTGTGGCTTAAAAGCCAATCATCTGCACACTCCGGGGGATCATTAAGGCCAATTAAGGTCTTCCTCAGAACCCCGGGGGGGTTTTAAGGCCCGCCACGGCCTCCCTCAATGGTGAACTAACTATTTCTCATACA